GAGTAGTTGTGCTTACAAAAGCCTCCACAGTCCTTCCAAATTAAGAAATAGTACTCTTTAAATCGTGCTGTTGCCAAAAAAGCACTATACTCTGTCTGTAGCGAGGTCTGATTTAGTTGCAAAATGAATATTCTGTGTATTTATGGTTTTTAGTACGGTTGTGTCTGACAGTCATGGTTTAACTGTAACGAGGAGTGCCGTCCCTTCCAAGTGCACGTCTCTAGAATTGTCTCCTCCGGACGGCTCGAAAACGGAAAGGTATGAGTAACTTGTACTGTGATGTTTTCAATAGGACCGTACTGTTATACATCTTACGAGGATGCTTTGCACTTGAAAGCATTTTTATATATTCCTCATTGGGTTTTTCAGTTAAGTAGACCATCATGTGTATTTAGGAGCTGACCTGTCCAGGTGCCATACAGGTGCTCCCTGGAGTGTGGTAACGTCACGAGTGGCCCGTGCTGATGGCGCAGGATCGGTGCTGACTTTCCCGGTGTTCCAGGGTTTGGTGATTCTGCACAGTGTTGCTCTGTGTGGGAAAAGCCGAGACTCTCCCTGTGCGGTGGGTCTGACTGGAAGCACAGGATTGCTGATTTGCCTGAGCGTGCTCATGCCAGCGGATGTGTTTGCAGATTTGTGACCTGATAGCTGGGGCATATCTCAGATCCTCCCCCAGCTTTGGAGATTTACTTCAGTGCAGCAGCTGCGGCTTCCCTGCAGAGGAAGATACAGCAACTTATTTTTTCTGTGTTTGATCAGAAATTGCAAGTGATGTGCAACAAGTTCTCATAGTGACCTTTAGCTTGAGATTATTTTGTTGTGTCTCTGTTACAGAATATTTTGGGAACAGCAGCAGAAATAGGATTCCTGAGTTGATTTGTCTTTTCCCTCCCTGCTCTGTTGAATACCAGTAACCAGGAAATTGGTATTTCTGAGAGTTGATCTTCAGAGCTCTCTTCATCTCTTGGTTATTGGCAGTAAACTGGGTTCTGTCTCAGCCTACTGCTGGTAGTTTTGCTTACAAAAACCTCCACAGTTCTTCCAAATTAAGAAATAGTACTTTTAAAATCGTGCCATTGCAAAAAAAAAGCTCCTGTCTGTAGCGAGGTCTGATTTAGTTGCAAAATGAATATTCTGTGTATTTATGGCTTTTAATGTGATTATGTCTGACAATCATCTTATTTTTAGAGGAGACAAAACCTATAAACCCAATCTCCAAGCTGTTGAGATTTTTGTGTTTTTAATAACCATGAGGTGCGAGCAAAATCTTGAATTAAAACCTATATTTAGTGCTCTCTATAGTGGGATAGGATTTTTTGGGAAACATATTTTTAGCATCATCAGGGAAAGGCAGGTTGAGTTTGCAAAGCTTATAGGCTTTATATGTATATATAACCAGCCACTGAACACGTGAATAATTCAGATTTCTGCATATTTTCATAAAATACTTGTTGAGTTTGGCCTTCATCTAGTTCCCAGACTCAAAGTTACAACAGGCCACCTCCTGCCATCCTCGGTGCCATCAGAGTAGGGATATGAATGGCAGCCTCTGGGCATGGCTGGCCTGTATGCTAAAGGGACCATGTGTCCAGAGCTTCTCCGGGTGGAAGGTTTGCTTTGGCTTTTACCTCTTCCCAGCTGTTCTCTAGTCAAGAGAAGCGTAATTGGTTACTGGACGCGGTACTGGGAGCAGGGAATGGGAGATCAAGGCTTAATTCATCCACAGACTCCCCCTGTGCCTTTGGGGTATTTATAGCCTGTCCACTTGGTTCTTCTTCTGTAAATAAAGATAATAGTGTATCAGTGAAAGCTGGGGCCGCTGGAGTCTTGAGGACAGGTGCACTAAACCATATGAGCACCCAGTTATTAGCAGGGCCGTGGAAGTACGAGAAATCTGTCTCTAATTGAGGCTAGAAGCCTCTTGGCGAGCAGCACCTCCTGTTTTCTTCTCCTGACCTTTATAAACTGATTTTTCTGCTGATTTCTTGACTCTGAGATTATACACAAGACTTCCACAGTGTCACATGTCACAGAGAATAAAATAAAAAGTAGGAGTTTGAATTGTGGTTTTTTTTTTTTTTTTTTTTAAGAAAATTACATTCTGCAAAATATCACTGTATAAGTTGTCTTTTTCAGGATCTTTTTCTCCTGAAACAGAATAATAAAAGTTGGAGTCACTCAAAAGTGAGGGAAACGTCAACATTTTTCTCCAGTTAGCTATAAATGCTAATTCATTCTTTGGATTAATGTTACCAAATGTTAAGGTATAACTGGGGTATTTGACCACTTTATGGGTGCTTCAGTCAATTTCAAGTATTTAACTGTTTCAAGGAATATTTTGTGGGCTGTTGGTATAGAGGGCATGTCTTGTTAGCAGTTGTTATCAGTCAGCTTCCACAGAAACTACTGTGATAATTTCTGCTTTTCTCTGTGAAACTTTCAGAAAAAAAAGAAAATGATTGTTCTAGTTTTGCTAAAAATGTCCCTGGGCATTTTCAGAGAACGAGGTCCCAGTTTTCTTTCCAGTGCTGCGGTTTGCCCCACTGTTTCATTTGGACCATCTGCAAGTTGTCAAGGGCTGTAACTTGTGTTCTCCCTGGAGATGGAGCACACTGTAATAACTGGAGGAAAAGAAAGGAAAAAAAAAAGAAAGAAAAAGTGGTGGTAGGTGCTACATTCATTAGAGAGAAAATGGTGCAGAGGGGTGTGTTGTCTCACAGATGTTCAGAGGAAGGTGTAGACCAACCCCATTCGGTGCATCCTGCCCAGCCAGGTGTGTGTGTGCACTGGGGGCTTAGGGACCCTGTTCTGGTCCAAATGGTGATGCTATGAAGAGCAAGGGTTGGAAATGCTGGGTGGTGTGATTATGAGATAACCCTTCGGTGACAGTAGCAGGACTTTGGACCTGTTTGGATCAGCTGGGAGTATTACCTGTGTTTGATGTCCTGCAATAAGCTAAAACACCGTATTTTGGGAAAAGACCCAGAAAAATTCATAAGGGGAACACAAGGGGCTGAAACATGGTCCAAAGCCAATGTCCTTGGTGGATTTGGCACGGAGCAAGGCCAGGCCATCTGCAAGCAGCTAGGTCCATCTCCTCAGTCACACCAGAAACCCCAGGGTGGGCAGGAAGTATCTTGAAAGAAAAGCAGCTGTGCTTATAGAGAGACTTGATTTTACAGGTATTGGGTTGCAGGAGGGTCAGTGCGTTTGTATTAAACCTTTTTTAGCAGCTAAGTGATGTAAGATTCAGCTTTTGAAGGACAGTCCGTGGGTCTGCTATGTTCTTTTACAGTTATGTATCGACCAAAGGGATTAAAGTCCATCTACACGTGAGGAGTCCTTTCTCTCCCCAGAAGGCTCTCTGTGCCTTCCCGATGACTCCAGCAATAATAGCAATGCTGTTATGTTTATTCACCTCCTGTCCTTTCTTAGACCATCTGTAGGCTTCTGTTTATGGAATTGGAAAAGACCTTATATGACCTGTGGAAATATCTGGAAGGGAGTGTTTAGTTAAGATTTTTGAGAATGAGGAAAATGACATCCTGTTATTAATTTAATTTGCTTTTACATGGATTTTATTATCAGGAAGACTGTTGGGTTTTGCAGGAATTGTTCTTGATGGGTATCCCAGCTTTATAAAATAACTTGTAACTTTTATTTTTATAATAGTATGGGCAGATGCTAGTATTATGCTGCTGAATGAGCACACAGTTAAACAGACTGTTCTCCTAAACCTCATCACTGCAAACTCATTGCTCTACTCCATGACTATCTTTTAACTGCTGGAGATCTTTCTGAAAAATCCTCTTGTTCCATTTTCCTCTCCTTACTCACGTGTCTCTTGAGCATGGCTGTACATGGAATGGAGACTAGTGATGACTGACAGCTGTAACCTGACAAAAAAATCTAGAAATTAACAGTCTCCTGTAGGCCATTGAAGGATGCATCTCCTAGTTCAGTTTAGGAGTCCCCATGGAAGCAGACCTCCCAGTTCTCCAGCCTCACTGTACTTTGAATATACTGATCTCTCTTAATGACCCTAAGCAGTCTCACCTGCGGCCTCCACACCACACCCATGGGCCTGGCAGCCCATTTAAGCTCTGTCCTGGATGCTGGGTCCTTCCTTGAGCAAACTGGGAGGTGTGCTGGTCTCCAGCTCAGCCATAGCTGTGCCTTTGTTTTAGTTAGTACTGGGCCCTTGGCACACGCTCCCTGTGTGTGCTTTTGCTGGGGCTTGGTAATGTGAGAGTGGACAAAATGCTGCACAGAGAGCAGACATCTTCATCATGCTGTATTCTCAGAAGTGCCTTGGAGGCCAAGTGCCAATAGAAGTTGTTGGACTTAAACACCATGAGCTGTGTTCAAGGTATGAGCCTCCTACGATCGGAGTTAGGGCATTCCAACACCAGAGACAGCAAGTCTTAATCTTTTAGTCCAAAAACATGAAGCAGGTGCATATTGCAGTGAGAAAGTCTAAGGTGTGTTGCACTGTCTTGAAAATTCTATGTATTATAGAAAAGTCCCTGGGGAGGGACTTTTTATAAAGGCAGTTAGTGATAGAACAAGGGGAAATGGCTTTAAACTAGAAAAGGGCAGGTTTAGATGAGATGTGAGGAAGAAATTGTTTGGTGTGAGGGTGGTGAGACAGTGTCCCAAGTTGGCCAGAGAAGCTGTGGCTGCTCCTCCCTGGAAGTGTTCTCGGCCAGGTTGGATGAGGCTTTGAGCAACCTGGTCTAGTGGAAGGTGTCCCTGCTGCTGGCAGGGGGGTTGGAACTGGATGAGCTTGAAGGTCCCTTCCAACCCAAACCCATCTGGGATTCTATGATTATGTGTTCCGTGATTGCTTTGTGTGAGGCTTGACACGTACTGGTAATCTACTTCTCTGACCCTTTTCTTGCCAGCCGATGTCTCATCCTTCTCAACCATCCCCACAAGCACCACCCTTCAAAGTCCTTGTGGAGAGATGTCGTTCTGAACCCCTTTCCCAGAGCACCCCGATGGGGCTGGACCAGGTGGGAGGACGCATGCAGCACTTGCTCCGAAGACGTGGTGAGTAGCTTTGTGGTGGTTTTCTCCTAGATCTGTTTTTTGGGTCTCATCCAAAGGCCAGTATGGGTTGAAAAGTCAGAAATGTGGCTTCCATCCATGCTTGTTACAACCATGGAGCCAGGTGAGGGAGCTCTGATAGCCACATGCTGAGGAGTTTCTTGCTAGCTGATAAGATCTTTCTGTATACAGTGTATTTATGAAATAAGGCTGTTTTCTCTTTTTAATGTCTCTGAACACAGTTCCTGTAATTTGGTTACAGGATGAACAGATAGGCATGTAAGGTGTAAAAGCTGTTCAGCAGCTTCTGTGTAGGGTTTCATTTGGTAGTTTCCTCTTGCTATTTGGAGGTGGCAAGTGGTGATGGATACTGAGATCACAACTCAAGTCTGATGTTTGTTTGGTAACACGGCTAGAAGTGGGTTTTTTTTCTCCTATGCTTGGGTACTCTTCTTGATGGAGAAGAGAATCTCACGAGCCAAAGACTACAGCGAGCTATCCTCTGCATTTGTCCTGCTCAAAACGACACTAGAGGAGGCACTTACAGAATGTATGTGCTGGAAGGGTCTTGTGTTGGCAGGTAAATAGGCTTATGGTTGAATAGATGATATCATTTTTTTGAACCTCTAATTAAAAAGATTGATAATTAGAGTAAGGAAATAATTTCCTGAAGGGATACTGCTAACACCAAGAACCACGTGATTTAGCAATGGGTAAGTACGGGCACGCTGCCAGATTGCGCTGGCGTTGCTCGGGAGCACGCTGGGGATCTGAGCCGTTAATGGATAGTGGCAGCACATCAGGGTTAGGAAGAACTAGGAAGGAAAAGACAAAGTGGCTGCCTCTTTATTTGGTGGCTCTTCTGTCGGGGTGCACACGTTTCTAGCGCGTGGGGAGTAACACATGCATCTCCCAATGTGAGCATTAGAGTGTTTGCACGTTGCTCCTGAGTGCTACTCCATTGGCACGGTGCCTCTGGAGCCTGCTAGCAGCCTTTTGCTATAATCGTCGCTCGCGCTGCAGCTTCATTTTCTGGGAGTCTAGAAAGTGAAACGCGCGTTGCTAAAAATAACAGCAGGCTGCCTGCGTCAGCATCGCATTTAGGAAATGGGTCTCAGTGCAATCGCTCTCCCAGCAACGCTGGAAGAAACTCAGGATTGCTGCCCACCCAGCCATACCAGGGCTGCAGCAGGGTCCCCAGCTCTGCTGTGCTTTGTGCTGCTGTCCTGGGCCGAGCAGGGTCCTCACCTATTTGGTTTGGGGTGCAGGGAGCATTTCATGTGTGTGTGTTTTGCCCCTGTAAGGTAAAGGTGACCTGAACCCCAGGAGCAGGGATGTGGATCTCCACTCTCCCAAAGCCTGGGACCCTTTGGGGTAGATGGTTTCAAACCCCTCAGGACTGATGCAGTCTGAACCGTTTGCCAGGGTTAGAAGTCCATCAGGAAAAAGAAAATTGGCGTTTTGCATTTTTCAGGGAAGAATTCCAGAATTTGGCTGTTTTCTGTGGACACGTTTCTCCATGAACAGGATCACAAGCCTCCAGGGGATGGCAACACCCGTATACACAGGCACGTGTATGCACGCTGCCCGGACCACAGGCACCGGCTGACAGGAGCCTGTGCTGGCAGCTGCCGTGAGGGCACGAGCCGTGCTCAGCTTCTTTCCTTCCTCCCAGTGGCTGTCACTACAGGCTAGGGGACGTGAAGAGTCTGATGGAGGGAGGGATTAAAATCTAACCTTGCCAAATGTGGGAGGGAAAAACCCCAGTCTCACACAGAATGGCACCTTCACCCTAAAGAGAGAGGGATAAGGTGGGGAGCTGAATATCTGGGTTGATTAGAAAAGCAGAGCTTAATTTTGAAAGGTGAGTTGCCAGCCCTCCTCCATCATTTGCCTCTTCTTTACAAGCTGTTTTGTGCTTGGGCATGTACCATCTGTAAGGCCAGGCTGAAATGTGGTGTAAATGGTATAGCTTGCTTAGAGCTAGATCAGAATTGCGTCTGTGAGGGATTGGCCTGAAATGCTTGGGGTGAGAAGTAGCCCAGTTTCTTTGAAAAACAGCTTTTATGGACTTTTCCATTTTTGCTTTCTGCATAAATTTGAGGAGCTGTTTCTTTTTCAAGGCATTGCATCATATGGACCACAGCAACTGTACAGCTGGGATTTCTGCAGGTCCGAACTGCAGAGGTGCCGTTAGCAGTTGTGACCCAAGGAGCTAGTGTACTTCCAGTCCTGGTGCTCCTGGGAGAGCATTCTGGCTTCACACCCAGCTTGTCTGACCCCACCTGCTTACACCACCTCTGAATTTGGCTCTCAGCTCTTAGGTTGTGCCTGCGTTTTTGTAGTATCCAAGCTGCACTATTTTTCTTGTATCCCAAGAGCACTGAATAAAGCACCTAAATATACTCTCTGCTCTCTTTTTCTAAAGAAGAGGTTGAATGAGTCTCTTGCAAACAATTTTGTTTCTTTCATTTAAAGGAACAGCCTCCGCCCCCAGCCTGAGCTAAAGCACAGCATTTATCTTTTGTCATTCCTTTTTTTTTTTTCACTGTGGATTTTATCCTGGCAGCTGAGAACGAACAGGCTTCGAAGACACTGAAGGTGCGCGGGAACTGCAGGAACGGTGGACGTCGATGGAACCTCTTCAAGCCTGGAGCTGAGAAGCTGCAAATCAGTAGGGTGAGGTATTTTTTGAAATATGGCTCTGCCTGCTTCAGGGGTGGTATTTACCTGCCGCATGTTTAGCCTCGGAGACTAACAATGTGCTTTACTAACAGTTTGCAGGTTCCTTCAGCTGCAGGTGGACATTTTTTTGTTATTAGAGTTATTTTGTAGCAATAAATGAATAGGTGCGTTATTCTTTCTCCTCTGAATTGGTTTCCATTCAATGTATATCGCAGGCTTTATGGCCTAACGCAGGCATTGGGCCTCCTCTTTCTTTGGCTGAGTGATACTTGCAGGTGGAAGGAACTGTGATGTTTCAGATTGCCTGTAGATTTGCGCTGGGGTTTGGAGTTTTGATGATTTTATTTTTCCTTCCCTTTTTAACCATGTGTCCTTTGGGTTTGGTACTGTTACCAGCACAGTCTCGGTGACAAATTCATGTCACTGATTCTTTCCCAAAGTGTTTTGCAAGTATAGCACAATTCACTTTGTTCTTTTTATTTTGTAAATGATGCTTCTCGCGGGGGAAGTAAAAGCTGTTGTGGGCCTGAGGATGTCTATGTGTTTTTTTGGGAAAAATTCAGAAACAATGGCAAAACTTGTACCGTTTTTCTGATACTTTTCCTTCCTTATGTGTGGGGTTGTTTTTAATCCATGCTGTGCCGTGTGTTTGAGGTCTGTTTATTATTGGTTATTCCATGGTCTTGTTTCAGATTTGTGTTATTTGTCTGGTTTCACTGGTACCCAATGTATAAGACTTTGGGTTGTCCAAAGCCCCAATAGATTTGCTAGCTGGCAACTAACGTGATGTTTTCTAGTGAACAGGGCAGAAGAGATTTAGTCCTTGTTGTTCCTTTAGGGCAGACAAACAAAGGATGATCTGGGAGCCTGGGATTTCCCTGCTGGAATCAAGAGGGGGACCTGACCTTCTGCAGTTTTGTGTCTGTGGCTCTTTCCACCCTGTTACTGTCCTTCCTTACCAGTCCTTTATTGTATTCATTTTCCTTTGATATCTGATGAACTGCCTTCCTGAAATGTGGTTTCCAGGGAGGACCTGAACTCTGTCTGTTTTTCCATCATAAAAACAGTACGTTGGCAGTGAGACTGACTTCTCCAGCCTGCTTGCATTGGGTGTTAGCTTCTATGGAGCACGTGCAAGGATGGTATTTCAGGCACTTGTGACTTTCTGGAATGCCATCTTGCATCATTTCTGTTTTCTTTCCTGATTTTTACTTATGGGCTGAGATACGAGCCAGAGGATGGATAGACAAGGACTTCAGCCCCTCCTTTTCTCTCACTTCCCTTCAGGTCCTACCTTGCTTCCCAGACATTAACTGCTTCTTTCAACTCAGGAAGGCTCTTTGGTTATAGGCATGCTGAACAGCTAAGCTCCTGGAAGATGAAATGATCCAAATCCAATGGAGCTGTTTGTCCTTGGGGCCGGAATAAAGGCAGGCAACTGCAGAGTTGCTGTTAGAGCAGTGAAGTGCCCTCTTGTATGGTATGCAAGCTCAGAATATCATCAGGTGTGTTATTCATATAAACCATTTCCATGTTCAGGATCTGGTGCTGAGCGGTGCATGGATATGTTTGATCTACCTTAATTAATCAAACACTTACTTAATCTCTTAAGTGGAGCCATATGTTGTGCAGCTTTCATAGCTGTCCTTCGGGCTCTGCTTGGAAACCAAAGTGCTGTTCTGTTTTGACACAGTATTGCTACTAAATGCATGAGAAACAAGAATGTTGGTGTCCTGAGTCATCTCTATAAAACCAGACCTGTTTCTGATTGCAAATAGAGCCTGACAGTAGAGCACCCTTACAAAGGCAGAGGAAAACTGAAACTTCAGCAAGCCAAAACTACTGCTGAAATTTGGGAAGGGTTAGGTAAGAAACTTAGATTCCCTGGTGGTGATATCTAGGAAGGATGTGAAACTGGAAAGGAAATGAACTTCTCATGAGCCCAGCCCTGTGTACGTGATGTTCAGCTCAGACATGGGTGTGCCAAAGACCTGTGCATCACTGGGACAGAGGATTGGTTTTGGGTGCTGATCAAGATGCCCTCAGAGGCTTGTTCAGTGCTGCCATTAGACAGCTTGTTGCTCAGCCTGAATTACTGTGAACAGGCAGGTGTGAAACCTGTGCTGGGGTTTATAAATCAGAGGTACTGCGTTAAGTGCTGCAAGAGTAGGATATATAAATGTGACTCGCAATAGCAGTGCTGGAAAAATCATCTGTCGCCTCTGCCTCAAGCTGAGTGAAGATCTACGGGTCAGTAAATAATCTCTTTGCCAGAAAGCAATGTCTTCTTTGGCAAGATTTATAAATATGAGGTAAGATTTGTGGGCTTGGGTGTCCCTTGTCAGGTGCATTCATTGACAGCTGACGACCAGTCAGGTGGGAGAGCTAGCACAGAAAGGAGTGATTTATAGTTCCAAACCAGAGGCCAGGCTTCTGCAGAAACTATGCCTGATTTCAGTCTTAAGTGGGCATATGTGAGGTGGAGAGAGAGCAAGAGGAGACTGACAAAACATCAGCCTTGTCTTAGCAGCATTGGTGCCATCTTGGCCCTTGGAGAGACGCGAGTGATTGTGCAAAAAGAGCATTGGTATTGCTACATGTTGTCCAAAAATGTGGAGCTGTTGATGAGTAGCTGCCTTGTGAACCCTCAGAAGCTGCTTATTCTTTGCACAATGTGCAGATTTTGGCAAAAAACATTCCCCCCCCTTTCCTTCTTTTTTATTTTTTTCTTTTTTAGGGGGTGGGTACAGTTGTATGTGTGATTTAGAAATGGCATCTCATAGTTATGAGATGCTGTCCCAGAAGTCTGGGCTGGTAGGCTGATCCTAAGCCCAAGGAGGAATCTTCCTTGTCAAGACCACTGTTTGTCAAACCTGGTAACAGTGTCCATCATTTTGCAGCTGGCTGCATCTTAATCCATCTGTCCAGACAGCAGGGATGGCAAAATGCAGTTGCAGAAGTAAGTGGTGGTAGCAGGAAAGAAGGGCAAGTGTCTCATCCGCCTCATCTTCATCCTGAGAGTGCACATGTGCATGCACACACCTGTGGGCTTTTTTACTGCTCGTGGCTCTCTTCTCCTATCAGTCCTGCCCAAGCTGTCCTAGCAAGTGAGTGTCTACAAGTCTGGGCACAAGCTTTAGAAATTTTCTATGGAGTAGATGAGGTTTATTGTTCCCACTTTGTAGGTGGGAATAAGAAAACTGGAGCACTAGGAGGTGGTACATGTAGAGCCATGCAATATTTTTTTTCATTTCTCTCTTAATTTCAAGAAGCAGAAAAAAAAGAGTCAAACTGATTTGACTTTTAAAAGCTTTCAGTATGTAATTTTTATTTTTTTTTTTTTCCAGAAGTACACTTCTTAGCCTGGAGAAATCTCTGAATTGAAACAGTTTGTGCAAAGCATTTTGTTTTAGCACTGGGGTCACTCAGAGCCTTTGCTTTTATGGGAGCAGTTTGGCACAATCAAGACCAACTTGCATGAGACCTCAAGGTACCCAAAATGGCAGGCTTTGCAGCAGCAGCAGCAGACAGCTGAAATGCCAAAGAGTAAGTCGAAAGGCTTCCCTAGCTCTGATGGGGCCCTGTGATTTGTCTGTGATTTACCCTCAGGCAGGTCCTGCCAGCTGGGGATATGGCTGATCCCTGGGGACAATGGACAAGGGGAGATGTGAGTTACTTTCTCCAGCCCCAGAGCAGTTCTGGGAGATGTTTTATTGTCTGGATGGCAGAAACAGGTGATGACAGGTCCCATCCTGGGCTGGCTTCATTCTGACCCAAATCACTAGCCTCTGCTGCTATTTATGAAGGGACTTGTTGCTTTTAGTTAGCTCTCCAGTCTGAGTTGTCTCAGCTCTTTCCATAGACAAATCCAGAAGGTGATTCAGCCCATCCTAAAATCGGAACCATCTTCTCAATGTGTGGAGGCATCTGTGCCTGATTCTATCTTAACCTGTGACTAGAGATTTAATTTTTAGCCTCTAACTTAGCAAAGATGACTGCAAAAATTCCTGTTCTCTGCTCCTCTTCCCCCTTTCTGTCTTGTGTGCTCTTGTACAGGGCCCTAAAGCACAGATTGATATGCTGGAGGAAGCCACTGTCCGAGTAGTTAGGATGGAAACTTTGCATGAGAGCCAGCTTCTTTAACATCCCCTCTACTAATAACAGGCAGGCTTGCTGCACAAACGTGTTGAATATTCGCAGAAAACCACCAGCCCAGCCCGTCATTTCTACTCTCTGCCATGAGTTACTTTCAGAGCTTGGTGGGGGTTAACCCTTGCACTGATGGTGGATGGGCGAGTCCACAGCTTCCCAAAGCTAATTCCCCACTGGCATGTTTATGAGGAAGAGGAAATTCAGACAGTGAAGGGAAAGTTGATTTGGGTTCTCTTGCTCACACTGTGCTGCAGTGAACAGGAAATGCTGCTTGATATTCAGTACCAGCTCTCCTGCTTTCTATTTTTATCTTCTAGCATAGTGCTGAGTGAGCATTTTGTTTAGTGGGGTTATTTATTTATTTTTTTTCCTATTTGAGATGTGTCCTGCACCATGTTTCTCTTCCCTTGCTACTTAGGGCAGGAAGGGGGTGTGGCAGGGATCGTGGACTACTGCATTCCGATACGTGAGCTGTATTTAATTGTTGTCATTTTTTACTCTGTCCGTGTGAATAGGCTGATAGAAAAGCAGAGTCCTGTGGTTTTCCTGGTGCTAATTAGTTTAAATATCAGTGTGCTGGTTATGAGAGGTGTATAAGCTTGTATGAAGAGCTGAGAGGAAAATACATCCTCTTTGCATCTCTCTTCCCTCATTTTAAACATTCAGTACTTCTGCTGGCAGGGTGCAGCTGATCTGTACATTTTTTTTTTGGGGGGGGGGGGGGTTTTTATCTTGATAAACCTATTACATTGCTCTACTTAGCAGTGCTCTGAAATCTTTATATAGTTTTTTCTATTCTTTCCTCCATGAAGCCACTCTTAAGGATTTATAAATGTTTTTTG